GGGTCAATGGTGATGATAGCACTTAATGATCAAGTGTTTCAAGGTATCTATATTTGTTTTAGTGCTTGCAAGGCGGGGTTTCAACTGGGGTGTGAAAGATAAATGGAGTAGATAGGTGTCATCTTCGTGGTGTTTGGGGGGTATACTGCTCACTGTAGTCGGCCTAGATGCGAACGACTGCATCTACCCGATTGCTTATGCTGTTGTCTAGAAAGAGAACATGATTGCATGGAGATGGTATATGAGATATCTGGCTAGGGATATCCATATGGGTAATGGTACTGATTGGACTGTGATGATGGATAGACAGAAGTGCTTAAGTAATGTCATTGACGAGTTATTTCCAACGATTGAGCATAGATTCTATATAAGGCATATGTATACGAACTTTTTCAGTGCAGGATTCAAGGGAAGGAGTCTGAAGGATTTTCTTTGGCGGGCTGCTAAATCAACTACAGTAGCTGACTATAGACAGTGGATGCAATAGATTCGACAACTAAGTGAAGATGCCTACAAATGGCTGATGAAAAGGCATCTGGCTGAATGGAGTAAATCTCATTTCAGGACACATTCGCGAACTGATATTTTGTTGAAAAACTTGTGCGAAGTTTTCCTTAAGATGTTGATTGACGATAGAAAGAAGTTCATCTTAACGATACTCATGGATATACAATTGGGATTTATGAAAATGATCGAGAAGCATCGTATTATGATAAGAAGTTTCGAAGGTCGATTGTGTCCAAGGATTAAAAAAAGACTAGCTAAGATCACAGATATGTCATCTGAATGCACCTTACGCTTTCCAGGGGGGCCTAGATGGTAAGTGGATTGCAGAAGTAGGACTATGTGTTGACTTGGAAGAACGGACCTATGCATGTAGGAGGTGGGACTTGATGGGGATTCCATGCAGTCATGCTGTTGCTGTTATACGATAATGCAGAAATGAACCCGAAGACTATGTTGACAACTGCTATACAGTTGACACATATTTGATGTGCTATGATCACATTATGAATCCGATTAACGGGAAAAAATTGTGGCCCCAGTTGGACACTCTTCCTATCATGCCACCTTTGTAGATTGTTCCACAATGGGGAAGAAAGTAATAGAAACGGAGGAGGCAAGCAGAGGAAGATGTGGTAGAACACTCGCAAGGAAAATCTATTGTTAAGAGAAAAGGAAGAGTGTCAATGGCATGCTCATTATGTGGACTACAGGGTCATAACAAAAGATATCACAGCAGGCCATATGCACATTCCCCAATGAGTACTTACTTCAATGCTATTTGATTGTTGTTTTTAATCCAATCTATGACAAAGTACTCAAACACTATTTTGTAGGATTGGGTTGCGGCTCCTTTGGAGCCAGTAGGGTGTCAGAGGTCTCTTGATGTCGACAAAAGGAGACATGTTAAGTGCTTTCGCTTTTAATTTGTTGTACATGTGTAAAAATCTAATTGTTATTTTAGTATTATATTCCCAATAACTTTTATTCCTTTCAATTATTAGGGAAAACTTACACCGGATAGAGGTACTGGTTTAGGGTCCAGCCAAGCACAGAGAGAACAACAAACTTTCCATTTCATGCCTACTCTTGGGGTCGAGACGCAATCCGAAACTACATGTATAAATCATGTGCCGTCAATTTCAATGCCCATGACTGAAGTGTTGGTGACTGAGCAGATTAAACTCCAATATAAGGAGGATGAACTTACACGAATGAATACTTCAAGTTGTAAAGTACCGAGAGTTGACCGGAGTAGATGTAAATAGACATCTTGAAGGAAAAACTGTGTAGCTACATAGGACGTTTTTGGTTGCTGGAAGTTGTACATTGTGATTGAATCCAATATGCAACATCTGTTCTTTTATTATTAATTTTTTTGACGATTTAACTAGCACATATATGTAGCTAAATGTAATGGAGGCACAATTTGTTAGATGAAGGTTGTATGTAACTAAACCGAGGCAGTTTAATGACTTAAAGTTGATAGTTCTAATGAAGACAGCCTTTGGATTCCTATTGTGTATTTGTGTTCTGTTGTGTGCATTTTTTCTGCCTTCCGTATTGTGGTAGCAAAAATAGAAATGAGAGGTTTTTGTTTTGTTTAATGGAGGTTTTCTACCTTCCGTTTTTTTTTTTTTTTGTTCTAAGAAAAGATCATCAGAATGAAACTTATTAAGACCAAAGTAGCATTTGAGAAGATAACTCTGCAAAGTTGTCTCTCCATATAAGTCCTCTCTGACCCTATTTAGAGATGATTTGCATCTTTTCAGTTTATGACTTGACCAGATTCATTTCAGTTATAGTTCATGTTGCAACCAAGTTTGTACTGGAAATGAATCAGGAACTGATTTTTCTGCTCCTTTGTCTATCGACTCAATTTAGTTTAAATTGAATAAATTGGAAATTCCTTCAAACTTAATAATCTATGTTATCAAAACATATGTTTTCCTCGAATAATCCCAATATTCCAAGTTTCTCATGCTTGCCTTTTCATTATCTCATATAAGACTAATTTGACATTCCTCTGCCTTTGACACATAACTGCAGTTAACCCCACTCTCCCAAACCTGGTTCCTACATATGTGGAGACATCAATAATAATGTAAATAACATCTTCATTAGTTATACAAGATAATAAATCATTAGACTTTTATAGGTAGTGTTTTACAATGTTCTAAACATGTACCTTGTCTATTCTCTGTGGTGGACTGGATCCACTACAGGAGAGCGAAGACAGATTTCATTTTTTTCATTATTCTCATTTCTACCAATGATAGGACTTATTGAAAATTTAAAAGCACAATATAAGATGAAAATACTCTCTAAATACTAAAAACAATTGCAGAAAACCTAAAGGCAGATTTCAATTAGCACTGCACCTCATCACCTATTACAATCTAGTCATGTCTTAACCCATTCCTCCGTTCATTACCTCTGGAAATATGCTACATAAAGAGCCTCTGCTATTCGCAGTAGTAGAATTACTTGCCCCAAAATGCAAAACACATAAAAAGGAAGCAGAATCTCATAAAGAATTAGTAAGTAATATAGCGCCTTACTTACAAAATTAGCTCAACGTTAAACTAACAACATTTAGTACAAACATCTAGCAACTACAATCATTACAGCTACATTCAACTCGAAGTGGCAATAACATAACAACCATTGAACCTAAAGTCTACTAAATGTTACATCATTACAACATTAAAAACTAGTGATTCTCATCAAGCTTGTGGGTAGAATAGATGGACGATTCACTTCACTTTTGTTCCCCATTCTCTTCGGTCTCTCTTTTTCCCTCGTGCATGGTTATGTTGAGGCTTATCTTAATGTCTTTTTGTTCGATAATTCCAGCACAATGTTCCAACACACTCGACAACTCATCAACTGGAGGTGTCGAATTACATTTCCCCATACAAAATGCATCTTGATCCAAGATCGTCTTTCGCACCACTGGACTGTCCTTCATTTTGTAATAACATCTACATGTTGGGTGAAACCTTACTCCATGTGAAAAATCCACAATCTCGACTAAAACATATGAATAACTTTCCTATGTTTTCGGTCTTTTTTCCAACTTCCAATCACCTTAGAAAGCCTAAAAAACAATTTCGACATCGTTGCTTTTTTGGACAGTCCCACAATTGGTGGCCTAGATGTCTACAATTGTGGCAAATTCCCTTGTTCTTTCCTACACAACAAATAATGTGGTAAATGATATACATAATAATATGTAAAACTACAGTTGTTATGGAAAAACTTCCAACCACCTAAAAAAACCCACTATAGCTTCAATGTTACTGGACAGTTCTTATGAAAACTAAACGCAAAACTACATTACTGAAAGGTAAAAAAAATTAAAACCTCACAATGTGTCTGCACAAACCAACAACTACAACAAATTTTGTTTCCACAATACATCGCATTTTTTTTTGAAGCCATGTGTATAACAGTACACAACATCACATTGCATCTCAATTTTAGCTGTATACATATTTTTTCATAACAGTATACAGACCCATAAACAAAACTTTTTACTCCAAAACATTCAGTAAAGCTTTTCCCTCCCAGTAGATTTCGAGTTTAGATTCCCAAAATCTAATAACTTAGCTAATATATGTAAAAGAGTCTCTTTATTACCGTAAAACACACAACGAACAATTGAATGTGCTACAGTTATGACACAATTTTGAATTACCTCTATTCCTTGTATCCATATTACCGGTGTCAACACCCTCTCTTCACGAATCCAAGCTTCGTTGGGATGGCTTGGTCGTCGAAAAGTGCTGGATTGTTAATATACAAGTCACGATTGTTTACAAATTTGGATTTGGGGTTTGATTTGAATATATGGATTTGGGGTTTAGAGTTAACATCTGGGGAGGAAAATGAATGAATGGGACGGCAAAAATAACTGGGAAGGTTTAAATTTCTTTCTTTTTTTTTCTTTTTTTAATTCAAGAATTTGTGTAACCCTAAATCCATGTTGGCATTTAACGGCCACATGTCAGTTTTGTCATTCACCTGTGCACAATTAGTGAGGGGATTAACAGGGATGAGGAATGGAGTGCAACGTTGTAAAGTTTAGTGAGTGATCTAGTGCAAGTTAAAGTTCGGTGAGTGGAAGTGACGTTACCCAAAGTTCGTTGAGCACTGAAACAATTCCTAAATGAGTTTTTCGAAAAATAAAAATAAAAAGAACATTAGTTCTATAATTGTATAAGACACCGCAAAAATTTCAATACAATCGAAAATAATCTCAAAATATTTTCATTGAAAGAAGGGAGAATTGGTAAACACTATATTTTCGAAAATAGATTTTGTAAATTGTTATTTTTAGAAAACAAGTAGTTAAAAAATAAAAAATTAAGTTTATGTTCGAAATTTTTTATTAAAATTATATATGATTAAAAATAAATTTTTAAAAAAGTGACCAACAAAATCTTAATAGCATCAAATAAATTTTAAATCAATATAAAATGATTAAAAATCTTATTTAGCACTCAACTTAATGAAGGGTAAAATGTACTCGATCAAGAATCCAGATCCATCAAACCCGGAAAATCCTCTGTAGCAATTAAATTACAATTACGAATTCCTGGGGATTGGATTGAGCATCTGATTTTTGTTTATACATACATAGCGAATCGAAGTAGAGGTGGAGGGTCGGTCGTGTAGTGAGATCAGCAATGGAGGCGTCGCAAGGAGGAGGATCGGAAAGAGACATTTCGAATTCTTCGTCGTCTTCCACTCCAGTTCCTGCCGTCGCTACCTTCTGGAAAGGTAGAATTACTCACTTTTATTTTGAAATTTCGTAAGATTTCCCATTTTTAATTCTTATCATTGTTCAGGTAATGTTTTTATCTGTTTTAGTTATGATTTTCCCGTGTTTTAAGCATTATTAAACGTGATTGCTAGGTGAATTTTCGGTGTCGTTTAGTTTATAATCTTGTAGTTTTATTCTCTCTTTTTTCCTGCAATTAACATTAGTGAAAGTATGCTCTGCGGTGTTGCTGTTGAACTAAATGAAGTATCTTATTTGAATTATTAAATATTACTAGTGAAGGATGTATTTTGTCGGGATTTGCTTAAAAGTTGGGCAACAGGTCTCAGTTGGGGCCATTTTTTGGTGTTTTTCGATCCAGTGCTATAAATAAAATTACTTGATTACTTATCAAAAAAATTTGATTTAGAGAAGGAACGGAGCGTCCTCGATGAACAAGGGCTTAGGATTGCAGAAAATCAGGAAAACAGCCAGAAAAATCGCCGGAAGCTTGCAGAAAGCACTAGAGGTATTATTTCTACTATTCCCTAGCACATTGTTCTTCACCACTCTGACATTTCATAATTTTCAGAATTTTCAGATTTTCAACATTGTCCTAACTCTTCATAATTTGCAGATTTATAATCTTCCTAAATTGTAAGAAATTATGAATACACCATTTATTTGTGGTGACCATATTCATCAACCTAATCACGTTGTCAGCAATTTTGTTTTTCATCTGTTAATAGACTTCAAGAAGGCTGCAAATGAAGAAAAGTTGAGCTTGTTCAACTCGTTACTTAAGGGTTACCAAGAAGAGGTTGATAATCTTACCAAGAGAGCAAAATTTGGAGAAAATGCTTTTCTTAACATTTACCAGAAACTTTATGAAGCACCAGATCCTTACCCAGTTCTTGCTTCAATTGCAGTAAGTATTAGCTTCTCATTTTTGGTCTTTCCTTTAGAGTACTGGTTATTTTTCTGAATGTCATGACATGTACTATACCTTTATCATCACGAGAAGTGATTGAACTTGCCTTTTGCTCTGAAGAAATTATTAACCTGTTCCTACTTGAGTGCTAAATTCGAGGACTATAAACTCCTTATGTGGAGATATTGGATGATATTGCTTTTTAAAATTTTGAATCACAATCTCATCATGCGCGTAGCTATACTTTTTAGCCTGTAGCTCACTTTTGAGGTTCATATAGGCCACTTAGAGTTACCAGTTTTATATTAGCGTTAATCTTTTAGATATTAGGTGAGCATTGTAGTGTTTTGGTGAAGTGACAACAGTTGACAATATTACTTGTGCATCTCTCAGTTTATATTTATCATTGAAGCATAGACATATCAACAGGGGCTGGAATTTCAGCGTCCCATGTGTCAGACCAAGGACACCAAACAAGTCCAGACACCCACCTGGCATGTCCTCACTTTTTATTTTTTATTATTTTATTATTTTTTTATTTCAGGCATGCAATGGACATGCTGCCAACTCACCTCCAACACATTTATAAGAAAAATTAAGAGAAATCATAACTNGGTCTAGGTTTGGCCATTATGGGACAAGTATATGTATCCCCTTTTACTAATTCGGCCAAACACATTTCGGCCTGATCATACGAGTCGTCATAGATGGTATGAACGTCAAAATTCGGGTCTCTGTAGTAAGTCCCTTTGCTAGAATTTTTTATTTGTTCTTCTTCTCTTATCAATCGCTCATATCTAATGACATTCGCACTTAACTGGAAAAGATCGGGAAATTCCTTGTCTTGGAACTTCTTTTTTAAATCAAAACTTAAGCAGCCTTATGCGATTTTGACAAATTTTTTTTCGGGCAAAGGTACAAAACACTTGCTTCTTGCTGTTTTGAACCTTTGGAGAAAACTTTCTGCCCATTCATTTGGCATTTGACGTAAATTTGCCAAATCAGCCAAAGTGACTTCAGATTCAGTTTTGTAAAACTGAGCATGAAACAACTGTTCCAGTTGTTGCCATGTTTGAACAGAGTTCGCTGGCAAGTTAATGAACCAGGAGAAAGCTACTCCTGTTAACGAACTAGGGAAAAGTCTCATTTTGTGGTAATCGGTTACATCACCACTTTGTAACGTGAATCGCCCTATGTGTTCCAGGGTAGACACCTCTCCCAAACCAGTAAACAGTGAGAATTCTGGCACTTTGTACCCTCTAGGCCATGGATATGCTTGGTCAACCCAATCAGGATATGGCTTTGTGTAAGTCGGTCTAATGACAGGACGCACACCAAAGGCCATCTGATCCTGCACGATTTCCATAATCTGATTTCTCAATATGACATTGGGATCATATGAAATTCCTACAGGCTAATTAACCGGTTGATTTGCATGAGGTCTGATGTTTGGTCCTTGATTGGTAACAAAATTACCATAATTAAGGCCATTACCATTAGCCTGGACATCTACCCCCTCGTTACCATGTGGAATATTATGTCCATTGTTTAGGACATTATCTCTCACGTTTGGATTACCCCCCAAGTTAGGCATACCACTACTACTACTTTGATTTGGTATTGTAGCACCTCCTTGGTTTGAAGTAGAGGGGCCAGCAAGTGGTTCTACCCCTTGACTTGGATTTGGGACCGAAGGATTATGTCCTACGATCGTCCTAGTTTGAAAGTGACTTGTGAGAGGTATAGCCGGCTGACATATTTGGCCTACTAACTTATTCATTGTTTCGTTCAATGTCTTTAGTTGTTTGGCCATATTGTCATAGTGTGCATTACCACTTTGTGTAAATCTTTCCATATTATGAATACTTCGGAGATTTACCTGCTCAACGACGTCTTGCGTGAGTTCTCCAAGCAATGCACGCATGGTTCGAGGACTCAGCTCCGTCATTGGTTCGTAACGACTGTTACTGCTCTGATTTTGTCCATCTGTTCGTGGAGAGGCATGTTGCTCCTCATATCGCTCGATTACAGACTGGATTCCTCCCTGACTTGCTCCTTCCTTGTCGGATCTCTGAGGCATGCTGTTTCTCCTTTTGCACTTTCAACACCTAACACCACTGTCCCACTGGGCATGCCAAATTGTTTCGCGCGGGTTAATTCGCTAACAATTAAAGAGAATTAGACGATTGTGTAAGGGACGAAACCTCTTGAGACAAAGTCCTAAAAAGGGGTGTTCTTTTTATTGGCGATGAACTTTACAATTGGAAACGGAAAACAACGTGCCTCTAAGGGGCGCAAGCACACGAGTTACAGAAAAGGAAATGTTTAAGTCTAAAAGCTAAAGGAATGAAAATTACATATTCTCTGTTTGAGAGTTTTGGATTCGGTCTTTGCTTCTAAATTCTTTCTCCCTTTATACTTCATAGGCGATCCCTTTGTGATTAACTGCTCTAAAAAACTGCTTGATCGCCCTATAACTACCCACTTTCTTTGTAGTGGCCATTTTGTCATGCAACTGTCCTTTTAACTGCTGCCATTATCTTGCATCGTTCAACCGCTTTCGATTGAATCCCTTGAGTCGTGGAACGTGATAAAGTTACTTTAGCAACTGCCTCAATAACTGCATCATAATGCGTTATGCTTGTTGATACCTTGGGCGACTTGAAGATTTGGGCGAGACTTTGGACGACCGTATGCCACTCTATTCGTTCAGACTCTGAGCGACTTGCAAACTTGGACGATGGCATTACCGCACTATTGGGCCCCTTATTTGGGCATTCACCTTGATTCGTTCAATTGGATTTCGTTCTTTGGGCTATCTGATTTGGGGATCCTCCAATTGGGCTTTATTCTCTGGGCTGTTCGATTTGGGCTGAATTTTTATGTGTCAACACACTGTTATTAAAATAATTCAATATAATTATCCAATGACTAGTATTTAAAAGGTTTTCAATTCATTATTTATTTGGACAAGAACTCACTAATCAGTTACCTTTTATTACTTATATAACAAATTTTTCAATAAAATTTCCTAAAGCAACTTCATTATTTAGGTTGAACCCCAACCTTAAAAGTCCCTCATCGCTCCGCCCCTGGAGTATCGTGAGAGAGGTTAATTGCAGGATGTGCCCCAACAGGTTAGAGAACAAGAGCTGTCTGTACATTGGTGCCCACAAAGAGTTCCAATCCACGTTTTAGGAATCGAACTCTCACACTGCGGCTGCCAGCAAGATTGAGTATATATCACCCTTGTTTTTTGCACCACTGGGATATGTTCCGAAGGGCAAAGCAATTTCATTATTCGAATTGTTCTACGTGTCACATATAGTTAAATATAATCTCGGACGGCTTCAAATGAGTGTGTTGGGTAATACGAATATTTATCGGAACTAAATTAGAAAAAAATAAAATAAAATTGCAGGCTCCGATTTAACAAATCTTCGATTACGTTTCAATGTGTAGTTGTTAATTAATAGGGGGTTGCACGTGAGAAAGAACAAAATAAGTTTTTTTTTTCACGGTTTCTCGTAAAAATTAGAAAAGAGTATTGTTGTAATGATGTCAATAAAATTTGGATAAAAGTTTTTATAAAATGATTTTTCAAATCAAGTCCCTTTTAAAGCATTAAAAATTATGGAGACCATATAGAGGCCTCAATTTGTTATAAATGCACCCCATTTTTAATTGTGTTAAATTTTTCTAACATTTGCCTATTGTCATAATTATTCCTCGATTTTCTTGCGTTGCATTCTTATTATCAATCTTCCATTAATTTACAAATCTTTTTTTATGATGATTTACATCCAAAAATTTATTTAAGATGACGTAAAAAGACTTATTATCCATCGTATTTTTAAATAAACAAAAAATAAAATGAAATAAAAAATGCAACTAAATAGATGCCCCTTATTTTTTTAAAGTATGTTAATAAATTTTCTGACGAAAACCTTGATCATAGATAATATTTTCTAATTTATAGAGGTTGAGGATAAAAAATATGATGAAAAATGTTGAGACTTATGTGTGATAATAAGTAAACATCAGGGACCTTAATGCAATTAAAATATGACACATTTATAAAAAGAAATTTTTTATGAATATAATTAACATATAATGATATTGAGTGAGAATCTTTATGGAGGTTCTCAAGCATCGCCTAAGATGCAGTGGAAGACAAGAACACGTATAAGTTGCAAGTCCGGTTTTGGAGTCCAAGTCATGTAAGATTACGAAAGCCCAAATCATAAGTTAATTAAAAGCCCAGCAATTTAAGAGATTAAGTTTAAGTAAAATTGATTACAAAAATTTAATGAATAACTGGGTTGCCACAATGGTCATCTACATGGTATTTCATAAAGGCAACCTAAGTTCGAATCACTATGTAGATATTTTTTATAAAACTTTCATATAAAATATTTTTATGGTTTAGAAACTCTTCAAATTCTTAGTTAGGCTAAATTTAATGATAATACAACTCACCCACTTAATTTTTCATTAAAAAGAAAGGTTATAGAAGTGGAATGTCACTTTTTCATTACACTCATCTTCAAATTCGAATTTCATCTCATTTTCTCTCAAAAAAATATATTGCATATCAAGTTAAGTTTAAGGAATAATAAGGGTGAGAAGAAGGAAGACTTTCTATACATTTTGTTCTTTTATCCAAGAAAATTAAAGGTAGGTAGAGGTGCAAGTGTTCATTCATTTTCAAATCTGATTTTTCGATAAATATTTAAATGAAATGATACCTTCGGGTACGGTGCTTCGGCACTACAATAGTTTGAATGATCATTCTCCGGCTCTACATGTTATGATAATACTATAGTAATTGGATTTTGTTGGAAATCCATCTACGTGTGACGGTATGAATCTATAGTTCGAAATTTCTAATTTGATAACGAATTACACCGATGACATCTATTGAGTTTCAAACTCGTGGGTTAATTCCCTTCCTATAGGTTGAATGGATTTTTTTGGGGCGTAGATGATGGTAAAGGATGATGCAACATGTTATGGAGAAGCCGGTGATTTACATCTTTAGTTGATTTTGAGATGTTTACACTTTCTTT